GTTTGCAACAAACTATGGGCCAAGTCTTTTGAACAGCACACACAGAATTTCAGGGTAGGTTTTTGAGGATGGGAAGACTTAATCAATGTCTGGTGTGGACCCATTCAAAGACTTCATGAGGTGTCTTGTTTGCTCTTATATAGAGTTTCACCAGAGTGATCTGAGTGATCTGATAGTGGACTCAAGAGATATGATGTTGTCCTCATTTCACCCATCTTGTGTGTATACAGATGTAGGATATTAATTTGATCCAGTTTGCTACAGCAGGAAAATAATCCTGCGGCAACAGGAAATGTGAATTATTATGTGGATTATAATGAATGTACATATTTGTAGGGGTTGATCAATTTTTCTGAAGGGAAAATCGAGTCTGAAATTTCAACGTGGCAATTACAAACTTCAGAAGCCTTTTTAAACCTCAAATACACTAAAGTTCTAAATTTTCCTGCAACAGGGTGATCAAATTAAGATCGTACATCTGTACATTGTATCCAAAGAAGAGCATTAGTAGGTCTGAGGGATTTAGACTAGGTCATCATTGTTGCCTTTCTCTGTCAGCACACAGAGTAACAAGTGGACCATAATTTCCTGCCAGTGACGACCTGGGCAGCAACCCAGAAGAATTACTTTTCAACATCCACAGCTTTACTTGATCTGCCAAGTCCCTCTGTTCTGCTTACAGCTCCATGACCCACGTTTGCAACTCTGTGATACCGTTAGGCTTTTCTGCAGCTGTTGTACATCTACACTGGCAAATCCATCAGGCCACCGGTATCTCTCCCCAAGTGGTGTAAAGTACTTAAGTAAAAATACTTTAAAGTGCTACTTAAGTAGTTTTTTGGGGTAACTGTACTTTACTTTACTTTTTATATTTTTGCCAACTTTTACTTTTACTTTTTAGAAAATAATGTACTTTTTACTCCATACATTTATCTTGACACTCAAAAGTACATTTTGACAGGGAAATGGTCCAATTCAGGCACTTATCAAGAGAACATTCCTGGTCATCCCTACTGCCTCTGATCTGGCGGACTCACTAAACACAAATGCTTTGTTTGTAAATTATGTCTGTGTTGGAGTATGCCCCTGGCTATCTGTTAAGACTTTTTTTTTCAAACAAGAAAATTGTGCCATCTGTTTTGCTTAATATAAGGAATTTGAAATGATTTATAGTTTTACTTTTGATACTTTAGTATATTTAAAACCAGATAGTTTTAGACTTTTCCTCAAGTTGTATTTTACTGGGTGACTTTCACTTTTACTTGAGTCATTTTCTATGAAAGTATCTTTACTTTTACTCAAGTATGACAATTGAGTACTTTTTCCACCACTGCTCTCCCTTCTCCCTTTAGGAAGAGTTATGCAACTTGTCTTGCAAGTCCTTCTTCATAGATGTGTGGGCATCAGTATGTATATGTCAAAACATGTTATCTGTACCAGGGCCGGTCCTGGCAATTATGCCGCCCTAGGCAAGACCAAAAAATTGCCTCCCCTACTGGAATAGTCCCAGTAAGCAAAATTACGTTGAAAAGATGTCTAAAATACCTATTTTTCCAGACGTTGCGGTTAGGTTCACTTTAGGTTCTGAATGAAAGGTGAAAATACATATTTTCCAGATGTTGAAATCAGGTTCATATTCGGTTCTGAATTAAAGTTGAAAAATACTTATTTTCCAGATGTTGAAAATACGCATTTTATGGACGTTGAAATCAGGTTAATTTTCGGTTCTGAATGAAAGTTGAAAAGATGTCATTTATAGACGTTTATGTTTTGGCCAAATCAAGGCTGGTCCAGACCGGACAAAATCTGAACCAAACATAGACGTCTATGATTGGTTCAGATTTGATCTGGACCGGACCAAAAACCAACGTCCGTGGACGTGGAAATCAAGGCCGGTCCGGACTGCACCAACAAAATACGTCCAAAAGGCGTCAGCATCAGTCTGTGCTTACTGAGATATAGCCTACCATGTCGGCTGAAATTGAAATTTAGGAATGCCCATATACAGTGGGGAGAACAAGTATTTGATACACTGCCGATTTTGCAGGTTTTCCTACTTTCAAAGCATGTAGAGGTATGTAACTTTTATCATAGGTACACTTCAACTGTGAGAGGCGGAATCTAAAACAAAAATCCAGAAAATCACATTGTATGATTTTTAAGTAATTAATTAGCATTTTATTAGTATTTGCATATATAAGTATTTGATACATCAGAAAAGCAGAACTTTATATTTGATACAGAAACGTTTGTTTGCAATTACAGAGATCATACGTTTCCTGTAGGCCTTGACCAGGTTTGCACACACTGCAGCAGGGATTTTGGCCCACTCCTCCATACAGACCTTCTCCAGATCCTTCAAGTTTCGGGGCTGTCGCTGGGCAATACGGACTTTCAGCTCCCTCCAAAGATTTTCTATTGGGTTCAGGTCTGGAGACTGGCTAGGCCACTCCAGGACCTTGAGATGCTTCTTACGGAGCCACTCCTTAGTTGCCCTGGCTGTGTGTTTCGGGTCGTTGTCATGCTGGAAGACCCAGCCACGACCCATCTTCAATGCTCTTACTGAGGGAAGGAGGTTGTTGGCCAAGATCTCATGATACATGGCCCCATCCATCCTCAATACGGTGCAGTCGTCCTGTCCCCTTTGCAGAAAAGCATCCCCAAAGAATGATGTTTCCACCTCCATGCTTCACGGTTGGGATGGTGTTCTTGGGGTTGTACTCATCCTTCTTCTTCCTCCAAACACGGCGAGTGGAGTTTAGACCAAAAAGCTCTATTTTTGTCTCATCAGACCACATGACATTCTCCCATTCCTCCTTTGGATCATCCAGATGGTCATTGGCAACCTTCAGACGGGCCTGGACATGCGCTGGCTTGAGCAGGGGGACCTTGCGTGCACTGCAGGATTTTAATCCATGACGGTGTAGTGTGTTACTAATGGTTTTCTTTGAGACTGTGGTCCCAGCTCTCTTCAGGTCATTGACCAGGTCCTGCTGTGTAGTTCTGGGCTGATCCCTCACCTTCCTCATGATCATTGATGCCCCACGAGGTGAGATCTTGCATGGAGCCCCAGACCGAGGGTGATTGACCGTCATCTTGAACTTCTTCCATTTTCTAATAATTGCGCCAACAGTTGTTGCCTTCTCACCAAGCTGCTTGCCTATTGTCCTGTAGCCCATCCCAGCCTTGTGCAGGTCTACACTTTTTTCCCTGATGTCCTTACACAGCTCTCTGGTCTTGGCCATTGTGGAGAGGTTGGAGTCTGTTTGATTGAGTGTGTGGACAGGTGTCTTTTATAAAGGTAACGAGTTCAAACAGGTGCAGTTAATACAGGTAATAAGTGGAGAACAGGAGGGCTTCTTAAAGAAAAACTAACAGGTTTGTGAGAGCCGGAATTCTTACTGGTTGGTAGGTGATCAAATACTTATGTCATGCAATAAAATCCAAATTAATTACTTAAAAATGATTTTTGTTTTAGATTCCGTCTCTCACAGTTGAAGTGTACCTATGATAAAAATTACAGACCTCTACATGTAGGAAAACCTGCAAAATTGGCAGTGTATCAAATACTTGTTCTCCCCACTGTATGTGGTAGGCCTACCATTTGTAAAACACCAAAAAAGACTGCCGGTCCGGACATGACGAAAATAAGATGTCTGAAAGACGTCGGCCCATGCTTACTGGGGTGTAGCCTACTATGTCACCCCCCACAATGGAATTTGATGAATGCCCATCTATATGGTAGGGCCACCGTTTGTAAAACAGGCCGTAGCATTGGCTTTATTAGTCCTGATTCCTGTGACTAATCAATTTGGATATTTAAGCTCTGAATATCAGCTACCCAACTTTATCAGGAGGAGTTATCCTGAACCTATTTGCAATGTGTTTACACAGCAGGAAATGCATAAGTATTTTATTTTTTTGCTATGATCAGTTCGTAAAAAATGTAAGGATATTTTTACATTTTTACATTTTAGATACAAACTTGAAACCACTGATCATGACAATTTAGCCCACGGGATGAAACTCCTGGACAGCAGTTGTGAGTAGCCTGATTGTCCATTCCATATTGTCAATTTTACTTTGACCTGTCCTGTTATTAGGATATGTTGTTTGTTAACATGTCAGCACATTTTTATTTGATTGGGCGCCATTTAGGTAAGGCTATTTGATCGGAGAAACCTGATGTAAAAAGTTTCCGTCTCATTGCATCACAGGGTGGCACCAGCGCTCACCTAAAAAGCCCATATGTCACTGGTTGAGAGAAATTGTCATTGTTTTGGGGCAGAATTATGTGAGGTTTTATGTGTTGTTGGAGGTGCGTCTTGGTCAGTTTAGCTTAGAAAATGCCGCCCTGGTCAGTTTAGCTTAGAAAATGCTGCCCTAGTCAGTTTAGTTTAGAAAATGCTGCCCTCGTCAATCTGCCGCCATAGGCAGCCACCTAATCCTGCCTAATGAGCGGGCCAGCCCTGACCTGTACCATCTAGACATCTCTCACATTTATTCTGGTCTCAGTTTAGGCGGTTATTTGTCATGTGGGTCTGTATGGTTGAGCAAGACCTCTACACATTGCACCACCAACACACACATCATTGCAATATGAAACAATCACAGAAAAGGGACCTGAAAATGTCAGTCATTAAGCAGGACCAGCTGCTGGCTCAGAGACAAGAGCAGACTGTCAGCCTTGAGTGATTGGTAAAGACTCCAGATGAATTGGCCTAAAGGCTCATAGAGTTGTGACTGCAAGTGAAAGCATAAGGGGCTTTCCATATCAACTTTTCTCTTCATATTTCAATTTCAACTGCATAAACTCTCCCTGTTCAAGTACATTTTTACAATATTGACCCACAACTGTATTTGGATTCTGTTAATACAGTTGACATCATTACATTATACAGTATTGAGCCATAGTTGTTTAATCAATCAAACATTAAGTTGTAATAAATAAGTAATTACAAATATCACATATGAAAATCGTTTCAGAGACACAAAACCCCAACAAATCCATTCCAATGTAACAAACACAAAATCCAGCATGTATACCAAATATTCTTTATTTTCCAAAGGTATCAAACTACAGACAAACAGATATTTGTTCTGATATTACACTGAATGTGAGCTGTTATTATCCCCCACAGAGCCCTGAACAGAGATCATGGAACCTCCATGCTTGCTGGAAGTCATAGCTTGGAAACACAAAAGTATATATAGTACACCATGTGATGTGCACGGTAACAAATATACTCATTTGAATAAATGCATCTTTGTTAAATGCATTTGTGCTGAGAAAATAATCCACGCAATACTGAGAAACTGGTCATTGGAAGAAGTTTTAAAATTCTATGTCGCTATGAAGAACCCAACATTCAAAATGACCCAGAAAAGACACCTGTCCAAAGGTATGTGCACCACTGTCCACAAACACTTACCACTTACCCACATCACATCCAAAGACCCATCCTATTTAAAGCATTTATGTCACATTTCAATTTCACCCATCTCCCTGTCTTTTCCTTTTCAAGGAATAACTAGTATTTCATAATGAGGAGATAAATTGCTGTACATTATTATTTATGTATAGTCATGGTGTATGTGATGATAAACATTTAACTGACTGTTGATGCAACATGGTCTACTAAGAGTGATCCAGTGAAACTTCTCCATTCTCTCTCTGTCTTCCATCATAATTCACTTTCAGAGGTCCATCACACATCCACAGGTGACACATCCAGGTCATCTAAGGAGGTTAACGTGATCATACAGGTAACTGTATCGTTTACCCCAAGGTTTAGTTTGGCATTCTACTGGAAGAGCTATTACAAGGCTTGAGTTACAATGCATGAAACACAATATCACTGAAAGAAGTGACAGTTAACATTTTGAAATTCAAATAATGTAATCTCTATGGGCCTACCCAAATCAGAACACGGTATTTACAGAGACAGACATCCCATACACATCCCAGTGATATGGAATATAGGTATTGACAAACTTTTTTCAAACAGTTCCAAGATGATGGTGCTGTTAAGCTTACTCGGGACAGTACACACACTTCCTCCAGGGTAATGGTAGCAGAAAGATACTAAATTACTTGATTGGCTCATAGTCATTAATAACAGCTAACAGAGTTTGGTAGTTAAGATCCGTTAACATTGACTCAGCTGCAGTCAGTCCTGTATTATCTCTGTATTATTTTGGCCAAGTCGTCTGGGGATGTTTCTGCCTGTGGTGTTTTATCTAAGGAAATCTGAATACCCAGGTTTGTATTCTTTTGCTGATATCACCCTGTTCTCTCCAAATTGTCTGAACTTCCTGGGAATCTGGTAACCAAGAGAATATGTTAACCAGGAGTGTCCAATAGTTTGATCCATGACCTATTTTCATATTTAACCCTTCACTAAGCACAGCTCGGCTTCTACATGCTATCATGATTCCAATGCACACATGCCCAAACAAAAAGAGCATTACATAGGCCATTAGGCCCATTCAATCAGATATAATATTTTTGCTATCATGATTTAAATCAAACATGATACCACAGCAGACATTGTAAAGCCCCAGAGTAATGGAAACTGTGCAGAATAGTGGGATGGGCAGTAAACTGATAACAACAGGGATACTGTGTACACACTAAATGTGTTGTCCATTAGACCTGTTCTTTAGGCAGTGTAATCTATATGTCCAAACTGCCTCTTCATATACAATTCATTATGCACTATAGTCTACACGTCTGGTTGCTGTACAGTTCTCAGTTGGGCATTCATACAGTAAAAAAAGATTACAGTGAATATACATATAATTCATGATTCACAGTTAAGATATATTGCTTTGAAATATGTTGACATTTTTGGAGAGAATAATAATCATTCATTGCTATAATATAATGCTTAACAATGCACTTAAAAACTAAGAAACAACCCAGAAGAGTATTAGTACATAATTTGTGTGACTCTTGAATGGTAAAAGTTCAAAAGACTTCCAAGAATTTAACAACAAAGAAATGTTGACTCACATATATTGTGTTGTTGTGTACAACATGGATGGTAAACGACTGACAGATAAACAAGTTGTATGGGTTGACATACTGTATGTAATTTAAAATAAAATATTGCTCTTCCACTTTTAAACTCCTAGAATAAACATTAAAAAACACAATTTGTCCCCTCCTCATGGTAGACCAAAACATACCTTCCGACACATAAATCAAACAGTTGCCATGACAGTGTTTGTTTACGACTCCTCAGGTGGTGTTATGGTCAAGTGAACCAAAGCTCAACAGGTCCAGTTAGAATTCCAGCACATAGCTAGAGACTGTGACCCTCATGTGAGCTTGGACAGAACCCATGTCCTAATGTAAATACCAGTTAGAAATTCGAAAAACATAGGCAGGGCTCCATTTTTCAGTGTTTCTGAGCGGTTTGTACATTAGACAACAAGCTAAACAAGGCTCTCAAATATGGGCTGAAAGAACAAGAATGAAAACAATGAATGTTACACAGTACTTTCCTCGAATTATCTGATTACGGCAATGCATTTTTCTTTTAACATAGGGACTACTAAATCAAAGGGATGGTAAATCCCACGTCGGGAAGTTGACTCAATGTCATATGCTAAATTAATCTGAGTTTACATACACTTACCATGGGAAAGGTCAGAGTAAACCATGTCAATAAAACAACAATATAACAACATAGACCCTCCTAGTTATCAAGAGGGTTTGATCTTTCACAGTTGTCTATCGGAAGCTGTGTGTCCTTCAGGATCATGGATATAAGATAGGGGAAGTCAATGAGTTGTCTTATCAAACCGCACTTCGAGGGAAGTTAGCTCTGTCTCCATTGCAGCTCACGTTGGTAAAGCAAAAATAGCATGGGGTCATTGAGGCCTAACCTTCACATATCTCAGATACTCCAGACCAGACCTTCGCCCATATTCCGGTGGCTGTTTTCCTTACTGCCCCTGAAGTCTTTTAGCGTGCTGACATGGAAACAAAATTGGCACCCACGTGTCAGACAGAGGCTAGGCCACACAACAGTACTTCTTCCACCACGACCTAGAAAGCTTCTTCATCTTGTCTGGAGTCCGTTTTTTCAGTCGATGCTGCTGCCGACTGTCAGAGTGCTGGATGCTGGCCACGATGGCTGCGTCAAACACCTCTTTGAGATTCTTCTGGGTGAGTGAGGAGCACTCCATGTATGACACAGCCCTCATGTCCTCGGCACACTGCTGGGCCTCCTGGGGCTCCACTGGCCTCTCTTTGTACTTGGCCAGCTCGATCAGAACCTTGACGTCCTCCCGCAGGTCTGACTGGGTGCCCACCAGAACCACCGGCGCCTGCGGGCAGTGCCGGCGAATCTCCGGCACCCATTTCTCTGTCACATTCTGGAAAGAAGAGGGGCTGACGACGCTAAAGCACAGCAGGAAGATGTCTGCGTTGGTGTAGCAGAGCGGACGCAGTTTGTCAAACTCATCCTGCAGGGAGATGAGGAGAGGAGAGGAGAGGAGAGGAGAGGAGAGGAGAGGAGAGGAGAGGAGAGGAGAGGAGAGGAGAGGAGAGGAGAGGAGAGGAGAGGAGAGGAGAGGAGAAGGGGGTTCATGACACGACTAGTAGAACCAAGAATGGCCATGCTCAACACAATATTCCTCCTTGTGAAAAGGTCTTTGAGTGCAGGGATGGAAAGGGCATAGCCATAACTAAGAGAAGGAAAATCCTGCCCTCATTGGCTAACATGTGCATGGCTGTAACTAGTGGCGCCTCTGCCTCATGACGTAGTGTCTCTGGCAGGCAGGAACACACAATCCGTGTCCATAGCCTGACAACACATGACACCTCTATCAGTTTCTGTTAGAGTGACAAAGTGTTCTGGTTACATGCCATAGTGTTTCTGATTAGGGACAACACTTTCAGCGTAGCCTACAGTTGATTTTAATCTCCTCCAATGTTGGTGACTGACATGCCATTGCGTAATGTATTGTTGAAGGCACTGTTTATTCCGACCAGCATATCTTGAATGCTAAATTAAAAAAAATGCCAATAGCTAAATTGGAGAAGAGAGCGAGAAATGTTAAATTGCTAGAACATGTCTATTATAGATGCAAATAATTACATGCCCCATAGTCCACACTTTGTCTGACTACCAAAAGGAATTTGTGATGAAGATCATGGAGGTAAATTATGTGAAAGAGACAAAGTGTGATGAGGCTGTTGAGAGGGTAGAGGAGCAAAACGTTTATGATTTGCAGTTGGCACAGCCAACCACTACCCTGCTGCCAAACTCTGTAAGTATAAGTATAGGGCCATGTAATTTTCACCAGCTAATGAGCCCCTGAGTGGAGCAGTGACATCATTTATATCATGTATTAGTGGCAGCTCAGCTTTGCAGGGGATTTACAGCAGTAAGCATTTAACCCATGGGCCATTGCACTGAGGCCAATATGGGTGCTTATCTTCACTAATGTGTGTTTAGTCCTTTTATCTGGCAAACTTATTACGCAACATTCAGATTACATTTGCATATCTCCAAAACATCTAGTTCTACTGTGATTTCAACTGGAGGAAAGATAACCATGGCATTCCACTGAGATTATATTTAGCTGTTTATTGCCAAAGCGTGCGTTCCACGCTCTCTCTCTCTTTCATCCGTTTCTCTGATACACCCAGCTTGTGTGTACCCATTGCTTCCTGGAAGAGATTTTAATAGTTTTTTAATTTTAATAATTTCCATCCTCAGAAGGTAGCAGCAAAGGGTCTCCAGGTCATTTTTGATTGGCTGGGAGTTAATTACAGGTATCAGGAACCCAATGAGGTCAACAACATTAACAGTGAGGGACCCTGTGGTTGGTATTCAGGCAGTCTTCTGCATGCTTAGTATGCTAAATACATGGACTCCATTACGCCCAGGGGAGCTGGTGACATTGAGCTTTGAAAAGCTAATTAATATTATTTGGATTAATCGGCTCAACCATTATCTCACATTTGCAGCACATCATGGAGTTGGTGGGGGGGGTTGGGGGGGGGGCTAGATGGGGCATGTGCTTTCACAATTATTTTGGGCTGTTACATGAAAGCAAATTATTCATGGTATGCAAGCGCATTTTTCAATGTAAGCTAAGTTTAACTATGTAATAGCCCTAACTAAGTTATAACTACTATATTGCTTGCATTGTCTTGGTGTCTAATGAAAAGCCCATCCTCTCAGAGCCTCTCTGCAAAGACACGAAGCAGAACCCTATGAACCCAGAGCTCCAGCCAGGGACTCTCTCTCTCTCTGTGTCTAGACAGAACCGCTCTGGATCTCTCTTGGTCTGTTTTCCACTGTTGACTCTCTCCAGCCTGCTCTACTCCTCAGAAACAGACCCATCTCGCATTTCCTCTGACCAGCCCCAGCTGTGCCGAAGCTTACGTTTCCTTTCCAGGCTCAAATTCAATTCATTACAATTATAAGGTTTCCTATCTGTAATCCCCCCAAGCCGGTTACCCCCTCCCATGAGGGGGAGACAGCATTTATCTGAGTAACCTCATTTTTAGTGCAGACTCACGACTGGACAAAAACCCTGCTGGAGCACATACATTTAAACAGATCACTTCACTCCCCTACATTCCCACGGGGGGGGGTATGAAAAAAAAAAAATTATAATAATAATAATAATAATAATAATGTATGCACTCACTAACTGTAAGTCGCTCTGGATAAGAGCGTCTGCTAAATGACTAAAATCTAAAATGTAATGTAAATGTAGTAGACCATTTGACCCTATTCTGTACATCTACTAGCCTAGTAATGCATAGGGCTTAGAACAAGTTGGAGAAATTCTAGGAACAGCAAAATGGCCAACTTGTTTGTTTTTAACCAATCCTTCACACTTCCAGGATAGTAGAGATCATATCAAACTGTCATACAGGTGTATTTCAATTACAAACCTGGCCAGCTGTGTCACAAAGCTGCAGTTTTACTGGCTTGCCATCAACTGCAACGACCGCTGAAAAAACAACAATTATACATTTAATCAGCCAATATAACAAAGGAGAAATTAGTAACCAAAATGCCATTATATACTGTTACAGACAGAATAGTGTCATTATGGACAAAAATATTGAGTATAACAATTACCATAGTCTTCCTGTTGCCAATGTGTTGCAGACAGTAGGCAATATTTTTACTAAAGCTGAATAGTAATGTTTTGTCAGTCTGAGTTCAAAATATACACTGAGTGTACAAAATATTAGGAACACCTTCTCTTTCAATGAAAGACTGACCAGGTGAATCCGGGTGAAAGCTATGATCCCTTATTGATGTCACCTGTTAAACCCACTTCAATCAGTGTAGATGAAGAGGAGGAGACAGGTTAAAGAAGGATTTTTAAGCCTTGAGACATTGTATATGTTTGCCATTCAGAGGATGAATGAGAAGGACAAAATATTTAAGTGCCTTTTAACTGGGTATGGTAGTATGTGCCAGGCGCACCGGTTTGAGTGTGTCAAGAACTGCAAGTTGCTGCTGGGTTTTTCACGCTCAACTATTTTTGTGTGTATAAGAATGGTCTACCACCAGAAGGACATCCAGCCAACTTGACACAACTGTGGGAAGCATTGGAGTCAACATGGGCCAGCATCCCTGTGGAACGCTGTTCTGAGGGCAAAACTCGGTGCAACTCAATATTAGGAAGGTGTTCCTAATGTTTTGTACACTCAGTGTAGGCTACTCATGAATTCACATAAATGTGCCGTTAACGCCCGATAAAAACGAGAACTTGCATAGCCCAAAAATACCATAATAAGTCCTAATAGCCGATTTATAAAGGGACATATTTGTCAAGTTACCTGCAAAATTATCAAAAGCAGTTGGGACATATTCAGTTGGATATCCATTTGTGGTGTAGCTGACAATCAAGCTCGTTTTCCCAACTGCCCCGTCACCGACAAGCACACACTTCACTTTGCGCTCTACGCCACCGGAACGACACTTGGAGCCCGAACACGACTCTCTGCTCCGAACCCTCCGAGGGGGAACCGGTGGGACCGCCGCCGACACTGCTACAGGTTTATATTCTCCATCGCCCTGGGGAGGCATCGCCTTGTGGTATCGCCAATGGAACCGCCCAGAGACCAATTAATCCAAGTTTCGCCAAACTATTCGTTTCATAAATCTGACATCAACGCTAATTTCACAAGAACTGTCCCTTATCTTCTGTAGTGTTTCCATGGCTGGAAAAAGTGTAGCCTTTCTTTAAAGACGATGCAGACACCTTGATGTCAATTCCCCACTGTACAGAAATAAACAATAAATCCTACAGGAGAAAATGTTTCCACCCCGTATGATTTTAAGTTCCTTTCCTGAATCTTTTCCACCGTTTTAGTTCGCACTCAACCTCCTCAAAAAAAGCTCAGCCTCCTACTCGTGAGCAGCATGACATCAGGAAACACCACTGAGTCAGAAAAAAATGGCACCATTGACCAATAGCAATAAGCAAGCCTGCCCCCCTCCCCCCAAATTAAAATAAATAAATAAATACAGAAACTTAAAAAATATATGTAATTTGTAAGGCTTCGTCTGTTAAATTGTTTCTAATGCTCAACTATTCATGGTTAAGTTTTAACCGGCGAAATTGTTACATGTGTTGGAAACAATTGTTACATTTGTATCCCTCAGCCTGTTTGATCTCACCAAGGAGTTACGACAAAGACTGTGGTTACAATACAATGTACCACTTCTCTCCGATGATACAGCTGAGCGATACCGTAGCTCAAGTCTGCTCCTGGTGGACTTTGACAGGAAATATGAAATATTGACTGACGACGACGTTAGAGACAAAGATTTAGCGTCATAGCAGCAGTATTAGGACTTCCGGTTTTTCTGATTTTGCCTTCAAAATAAAAGTACACGGTAAAAGGCTACGTGTATGATGTTAAATCAATCATTTTTGTAGCTTTGCATAATGCATAATGTTAAAATAATGTTCAAAAATTATAACTACATCGGGGAAAAATCTAAACTAAAGACAATTAGTACTTTATATAAGATAAATAATATAAGGGGGAGCATATTGAGAAATCGTTAGAGCTTAAGTAAATTAATGTAAAGAACATAATATTATACAGACCCTATTGATCTAGCACTGGAGTCTATATATGGTGTTATTTATTGGATGACTGTGGTCTAAATACCCAGCAGCCCTTTCTACTCCACCCATTCCATTGGTCCCAATTCAATACACTGTAGGCCTATAAATTACATATTGTCTTATAGAGCAAAAACTATTCTGGCTGCCGCAGTAAAAGTATTTTAGGGAATACTCAGTAGGGTCTGTAGAATGTACAGTTGAAGTCGGAAGTTTACATACACCTTAGCCAAATACATTTAAACTCAGTTTTTCACAATTACTGACATTTAATACTAGTAAAAATTCCCTGTCTTAGGTCAGTTAGGATCACCACTTTATTTTAATAATGTGAAATGTCAGAATAATAGTAGAGAGAATGATTTATTTAAGCTTTTATTTCTTTCATCACATTCCCAGTGGGTCAGAAGTTTACATACACTCAATTAGTATTTGGTAGCATTGCCTTTAAATTGTTTAACTTGGGTCAAATGTTTCGGGTAGCCTCCCACAATATGTTGGGTGAATTTTGACCCATTCCTCCTGACAGAGCTGGTGTAACGGAGTCAGGTTTGTAGGCCTCCTTGCTTGCACACGCTTTTTCAACTCTGCCCACACATTTTCTATAGGACTGAGGTCAGGGCTTTGTGATGGCCACAATACCTTGACTTTGTTGTCCTTAAGCCATTTTGCCACAACTTTGGAAGTATGCTTGGGGTCATTGTCCATTTGGAAGACCCATTTGCGACCAAGCTTTAACTTCCTGACTGATGTCTTGCGATGTTGCTTCAATATATCCACATAATTTTCCTTCCTCATGATGCCATCTATTTTGTGAAGTGCCCCATTTCCTCCTGCAGCAAAGCACCCCCACAGCATGATGCTGCCACCCCAGTGCTTCACGGTTGGGATGGCGTTCCCTCGGCTTGCAAACCCCCCTTTTTCCTCCAAACATAACGATGGTCATTATGGCCAAACAGTTATATTTTTGTTACATCAGACCAGAGGACATTTCTCCAAAAAGTACGATCTTTGTCCACATGTGCAGTTGCAAACCGTAGTCTGGCTTTTTCATGGCGGTTTTGGAGTAATGGCTTCTTCCTTGCTGAGCGGCCTTTCAGGTTATGTCGATATGGGACTCGTTTTACTGTGGATATAGATACTTTTGTACCTGTTTCCTCCAACATCTTCACAAGGTCCTTTGCTGTTGTTCTGGGATTGATTTGCACTTTTCGCACCAAAGTACGTTAATCTCTAGGAGACAGAACGCATCTCCTTCCTGAGCGGTATGACGGCTGTGTGGTCCCATGGTGTTTATACTTGCGTACTATTGTTTGTACAGATGAACGTGGTACCTTCAGGAAATTGCTCCCAAGGATGAACCAGACTTGTGGAAGTCTAAAAAAAAAAATCTGAGGTCTTGGCTGATTTCTTTTGATTTTCCCATGACGTCAAGAAAAGAGGCACTGAGTTTGAAGGTAGGCCTTGAAATACATCCACAGGTACACCGCCAATTGACTCAAAGGATGTCAATTAGCCTATCAGAAGCGTCTAAAGCCATGACATCGTTTTCTTGAATTTTCCAAGCTGTTTAAAGGCACAGTCAACTTAGTGTATGTAAACTTCTGACCCACTGGAATTGTGATACAGTGAATTATAAGTGAAATAATCTGTCTGTAAACAATTGTTGGAAAAATTACTTGTGTCATGCACAAAGTAGATGTCCTAACCGACTTGCCAAAACTATAGTTTGTTGACAAGAAATTTGTGGAGTGGTTGAAAAACGAGTTTTAATGACTCCAACCTAAGTGTATGTAAACTTCCGACTTCAACTGTATATATGGTGTCATTTCATGGGGCTCTGAATAATACGGAGTGTTGATGGCCTTTTACTCCACCCATTCCATTGGCCACAATGCGAATCACTGTACATGGAATAAATATTGGTTTATAGAGCAAAATCTATTCTGGGTGCTGCAGTAAAAGTATTGTAGGGAATACTCAGTAGGGTCTGTAGAATGTATATATGAATGTATATAACGGCCAGCAACACTCCGTATTATTTTATATATTTTTTCTCTAGAAGCCTAAATGTAATTTATAGGCCTACATTGTATTGCATTGGGACCAATGGAATGGGTGGAGTAGAAAGGGTTGCTGGGTATTTAGACCACAGTCATCCAAGAAGTAACACCATATATAGACTCTAGCGCTAGATCAATAGGGTCTGTAGAATATTATGTTCTTTACATTAATTTACTTAAGCTCCAACTATTTCTCAATGTGCTCCACCTTATAATTTTATTTATCTTATATAGAAATTCTCTAGTTTACATTTTTTTGTTTAGATTTCCCCCCAATGTAGTTATAATTTTGTAAAATTATTTTTACATTATGCACTATGCAAAGCTTCAAAAATGATTGATACACATAGCGTTTAACCGAATACTTTTATTTTGAAGGCAACATCGGAAGTCTTAATGTTGCTGCCATGAAGCTAATGAGACAAAGCATGCATTTAGTATTTCTTGGACCGACAGATAAATGCAATTTAATTACGTTTTCCGAGGTACGCAAAACTATTTTAATTAAGTTGTTTTAATTGCAAATAAGTGATATGGCAGGAGCACGAATTACATGGAACGTTTGCCTCCTCCGGACACATTTTTAAGTTACAACCTTGACGCATGTTGGAATTTGTGGTGACAGACAGCTAGACAGGGATTAAAGAAATACGATAAAATCAACGTTACTTGGCAGAGGAGGCCGAACATTGGAAACTACAGAGTCATCAGTTCCCCAGCAAAGTTGGAGGCAAACCTGCATGGTTGAGTCAGTTGGACATCCCAAGTTCACTTACCAACTCATCCAGAGTTAACGTTAGCATGTGGAAAATGCCAACTTCCTACAGCATTTCTCTTGCAGGTTTACGCTCCAATACCTGGACAGGATAGAAGTTTTCACCGAACTTTTTTTGTATTCTGCTATTCAGAAAATGACAGCCGTTGCCTGAAAGGTAAATAGCCATTAACTGCAGCAAAGAACACCAGACCATAGACTAGAAACACTGTCATAAGAAAGAGTGTTGCAAGCAAGGTGATTATGCTGCTCCCCTAGACCAGGGTTTCCCAAACTCTGTCCTGGGGTCCCCCACTGAAAGATATACAAACTTTCAATTAATGTTAAGTGCCGTCCAATGCAGTGCCTTCCTCATTCCTGTTTCCAGAGTCAGAACTGGTCACAGAGCCTGAGGAACATCAGAAAGAGTCAAGTGAAACAGTGGGGGACGCACAGAATAGCATGGAATGCACCTCCTTAGTTGATGGTAAAACGTTATTAGACTGCATTGCATTTACTTATCTAGTCCTTTCAGACCCAGTAACATTAAGGCGGGTCATCAAAACCAGAGGGAAGGGAGATTGGACCCAGCCTAAATATTAGTCTGTAAATTATTGCCATTTCTGTTGTGTGAAAGTATTAATCTTTTTCCACAGATTTGGCAGAGACAGAACTTGAAGACATGGCCATGCATGAAACCGAAGATGGCAAAGTGTTCCAGAAGTTTAAACAGAGGATTATGTCAGAGCCACATCAGGTTATAACACAATTTAGGGACATACTTTTGTATATATATTGTATGTGGACACCCATTCAAATTTGTGGATTTGGCTATTTCAGCCACACCCATTGCTGACAGGTGTCCTCGGTTGCAACACTCACTACCGAGTTTCAAACTGCCTCTGGAAGCAATGTCAGCACAATAACTGTTTGTCAGGAGCTTCATGAAATGGGTTTCCATGGCCGAGCAGCCGCATACAAGCCTAAGATTACCATGCGCAATGCCAAGTGTCGGCTGGAGTGGTGTAAAGCTTGGTGGATGCCAGGAGAAGTTTGGGGAAGGCCCTTTCCTTTTTCAGCATGACATTGCCCCCGTGCACAAAGCAAGGTCCATACAGAAATGGTTTGTCGATTGGTGTGGAAGAACTTGACTGGCCTGCACAGAGCCCTGACCTCAACCCCATCGGAAACACCTTTCGGATTATTTGGAATGCTGACTGCCAGGCCTAATCGCCCAACATCAGTGCCCTCACTAATGTTCTTGTGGCTGAATGGAAGCAAGTCCCCACAGCATGTTCCAACATCTAGTGGAAAGTCTTCCCAGTAGAGTGGATGATGTTACAGCAGCAAAGGGGGGACCAACTCCATATTAATGCCCATGATTTAGGAATGAGATGTTTGACGAGCAGGTGTCCACATACTTTTGGCCATGTAGTGTAACTCTCCAAGCAGAATCCTCAGACAAGAAGTGCATCAAAATCACTCGAATATTTATTTGCAATTAATCTGGTTTTTAATTAAGACCTAGGGCTCGATTCAATCCATAGCACTGAAGACCTAGGCTACAGCGGAATAGAAACGTTAAAGGCAATGGCCTGCGTTAGTGGAGATTGCATTCACGGTAAACGCAAACGCTGCATGTCGCCTCAAATGGAAATTACCTTTACATTTAAATCGCGTTACAGCGCAGATCTTCAGCGCTACGGTTGAATGAAGCGCCTAATCTCTTGTGGACATACGCACGTGACATAGGATGGTATCGTAGAGTCTGTCAACACTGGGATGCGACGACTAACGAGGAGCTTTCAACACTGGGATGCGACGACTAACGAGGAGCTTTGTTCTGGTGCGAATATTTTCACTGATCATTTGGACAAATCACGATTTTGCAGGTGTTGGCATCTTTCGACTTTCGAAAGGGGTGGGGACATTTGGCCAATGCTTTAGCTGAGAGTTTCCATTTAGGGCGGTGGAGATTTCGCTAGTCTCTTTAGTATCTTTTCTCATACATCTCCCTCCAGAACCTAATCACGCAAGATTTTTGTTCTGGGTTTACGAGATTACTAAAGACCATAACGTTATTGTAGGTTTTGCGATACTGTAGAAGTGGCTCTCCTCTTTGGGTTTCGTCTGAACACGTTCCTGTGGTTCAAGGCGTATCCAATTTGTAAGTCGCTCTGGATAAGAGCGTCTGCTAAATGACGTAAATGTATCTAAGAATTTCAGGTATTTGCAATATGTAAATGAAGAGCCTATTTACTGGACCCAGATTAAGCCTATTCTCGGACTGAAAAGTACTCACTGGAAATATTTTATCCAGGACTGAGTTTAATCTGGGTCTGGAAAACAAGACCTAAATGTTTAAACATCTAAGGCTTGCTTTTATACATTAATTATGTGCTGATATTGTGTTTTGCATCCCATCAGGTCATGCCCCAGCTACTGAATGACTGGAAAGTGGACAGCCCTCATGCCAGTATAGACTGGGGAATCTTGGCTGTCTACACATGTGCTGACAACTGTGACCAAGTCAACAAGTACTCTTCAGAATTCATCTGGAAACAAGATTTCAAAGGAGAACAGAAATTGTTATAGAATTGAAATCTGAATGTACCTAGTTATGGAAATGTTTCATTTATATGTTGGGCTATACTGCCCCTCTGTCTCTATTTCTGACATGCATACACAGCTTCAATCTGTTCGATTTCCAGTCACACATACACACTTTGATTTGAGGAATATGACTTAGTTATAACGGTCTTACTTCCAAAAAGCAAAATACCTAATATTAGTCCATTGTTTGTTGTCATAGGACTGAGACTTTGCATAGCTTAATATCCGGTTTTAAAAAGTTGCTGTAATGGAATGTCATTTCTTGAGCATTACAAATCAATAAATGCAATTTGCATGTTAAGATGTCATGATGCACCTTGCACAATTGTTTAGTGTGTCCATTCTTTAAACTGTGGTCAAGCTTTCACAAATCCATGTACATAGTCATAAATTCACAGGATTATTGAATACTAGTTCAAAATCTTGCCATACACTGAAGAAAAAGCTTTTTAAACTAACGGAGATCACAATTGGTAAGTGAATATTTAATTGCACACAATGGAGCAAAATAACATTTAAAACCAGAACATAATTACTGACCGTGCTTTCGTGGGCTTAGTTGGTAGACCAAATACAGTACGTATCAACTATTGAAACAAAATCCATGGTGAATTTGTTTGTCTATTCTAGCATTAAAACATGACGGTTCTTAAATAGCACTTAATGACCAAAAACGGAATGAGAAAAATAAGACATCTGAAGTACATAGATTACTAATAACACTCCTTAGATGCACAAGGTTGCATGATGAATGTTCCACTCCACGTTACGCCATTTTCTTGCCTTCAGCAGCAAAGCGTTATCAAAATGTAATATGTACAAACAATATTGTAGAAATAAGGACAAATTGGTAAGCCTTGCAAAACAATCCTAAGTAACATTCAATCTGGAGATTCTTCATATAACAATTAAATTGACTGTAAAAACCATTGAAATAATCATGTTATGAATCTTGAATGTCTGCTTGTAGGGTGTGTTGACAAACATGCACTGAGAAACGATAAGATAACATCTTAAAAACTACTTTAGAAAAATTAAATGCTTAAATGAAAAGAAATAGCCAGCCAGACTGCCTCATTTAATAACAAGCAAGAGCCATTTAAAACAAATAAAACTGCTAAAATACAGCATTTCCCCTAGTATCAAATCACCATTAAGGTGAATAGGAGGGGTCCCTGACTTGCCGATTAAACTGTACAGGTCCAATCAGAGTCCCAATGTAACGGGTCACAACATAGAGCAAGTTCCCCTGTGACTATTAAAAAAAGAAATTAAAAAAAAGATTGCAGGCATAAATATTTACGTCGTCTTCCTGAATCCTTTCAAGATGGGGTAGATGTTTTCAAATGCTTCATAAATTTCTCCTCTCACCTTTGCACCTTGAAATAAGCAGCAAAAAGGATAGTAAATAGTTACATTTGACAAAAATTAAGGACAACAAATGCCTTTTCTATATGTTATTAGGAAAGGGAGAAAAACCTCACCTGTTAATACAACTTTGCCTGAAACGAATATCAACAGGACAATTCTGGGTTTGATCATTCTGTAGATTAGCCCAGGGAACAACTCAGGTTCATAACTGAAAAATAACAATAAAAAAAATGAGGCCTACTTCTAATCTTTGCTCCCAGTATTAAATCACTTTAGAATACCAATCTCACATCAACATCATTATCCCAGAAACCATAGACCCACTCCAATTTGCATACCGCCCCAACAGATCCACAGATGATGCAATCTCTATTGCGCTCCACACTGCCCTTTCACACCTGGACAAAAGGAACACCTATGTGAGAATGCTATTCATTGACTAAAGCTCAACGTTCAACACCATAGTGCCCTCAAAGCGCATCACTAAGCTAAGGACCCTGGGACTAAACACATCCCTCTGCAACTGGATCCTGGACTTCCTGACGGGCCGCCCCCAGGTGGTAAGGGTAGGTAACAACACATCCGCCACGCTGATCCTCAACACGGGGGCCCCTCAGGGATGCATGCTCAGTCCCCTCCTGTACTCCCTGTTCACTCATGACTGAATGGCCAGGCACGACTCCAACACCATCATTAAGTTTGCTGATGACACAACAGTGGTAGGCCTGATCACCGACAAGACAGCCTATAGGGAGGTCGTCAGAGACTTGGCCGTGTGGTGCCAGAACAATAACCTTTCCCTCAACATGATCAAGACAAAGGAGATGATTGTGGACTACAGGAAAAAGAAGAGGACCGAGCACGCCCCCATTCTCATCGACGGGGCTGTAGTAGAGCAGGTTGAGAGCTTGAAGTTCCTTGGTGTCCACATCACCAACAAACTAACATGGTCCAAGCACACCAAGACAGTCATGAAGAGGGCACGACAAAACCTATTCCCCCTAAGGAGGCTGAAAAGATTTGGCATGGGTCGTCAGATCCTCAAAAGGTTCTACAGCTGCACCATCGAGAGCATCCTGACTGGTTGCGTCACTGCCTGGTATGGCAACTCCTCTGCCTCCGACCGCAAGGCACTAGAGGGTAGTGCGTACGGCCCAGTACATCACTGGGGCCAAGCTTCCTGCCATCCAGGACCTCTATACCAGGTAGTGTCAGAGGAAGGCCCTAAAAATTGTCAAAGACTCCTGCCACCCTAGTCATAGACTGTTCTCTCTGCTACCACACGGCAAGCGGTACCGGAGCGCCAAGTCTAGGTCCAAGATGCTTCTAAACAGCTTCTCCTCCCAAGCCATAAGACTCCTGAACATCTAATCAAATGGCTACCCAGACTATTTGCATTCCCTCCCTCCCCCCCCCCCCCCCCCCCCCTCTCTACACTGCTGCTATTCTTTGTTTATTATCTATGCATAGTCACTTTAATAACTCTACCTACATGTACATATTACCTCAATTAACCGGTGCCCCCGCACATTGACTCGGTACCCCCTGTATATAGCCTTGCTATTGTTATTTCTACTGCTGCTCTTTAAATATCTGTTCCTTTTATTTCGTATTATTTTATACAGTATTATTTTTTATTTTTTTGGTATTCTCTCTTAAAACTGCATTGTTGGTTAAGGGCTTGTAAGTAACCATTTCACTGTAAGGTCAACATCTGTTGTATTCGGCGCATGTGACAAATAACATTTGATTTGATCTTAGTATTATACATTAATGAACAAAATATGGCAGAATTCCAAGTATAAGAATGAATCCCATCAGATATTACAGGCTTTAATTTTGCAGTAGTGAATATGACAAACCTGCTGAACTGCTGGTGAGTTAGTACAAGTCCCTCTAACCGAATGGGGAATTTGACGTCACAGCTGCCCACCATGTTCTGAATCTTGAAATCAAGAAATTTGGCTGGGAAGCCCAACTTCTGCACGACTCTGGCGTATTTCCTGGCTGCCAGGCGGGACTGCTCTTCACTGAAGGGGTAGGAGGGAGCATGAGGAGGTCTTTAAAACAGATGTTTTGATATGTTTTGTGTAAAATATATATATTTTTTAAAGGATGATACTAACCTTTTGGCTCCCGTGCACACCATTTTTCCAGAACTGAAGATAAGTGCAGTTGTTCTTGGCTCTCGTATTCTCATGATTACAGCAGCAAATCGCTGTAAGACAAGAACAGTTGAGAAAGTTGTGAATTTAGTCAAAATAACAACAGTCGGCCTTGTGGGTCCATTCTAGTTGCATTTTAGCCTGGTCCTATTTCACCTTTCCCTGGGCCCTGACAATGATTTGTGCAAATGAAGAATAACAACTTATTCTTACCTTGGGGTTGTACTCAGCATTTCTAGCTCGCAGTGCTATTGTTTTCAAGTCAAGTTTGCAGCCCAAGTTCACAGTGGATACGATGTTCCTAAAGAGGGAAGGGAATAAACCATGCAATCAGGATGGGAGATTCTCGTTGTTGATATGGTCACATCACTATTCACCTTGATCTATTAGCTTCTTGTGTTCCAGCTTTATAGGAGTACATAGGGGTTGAGACTAATTAACTAATGAATTGTTCAAGAACACTTACTGTAACTGTGGTACAATCCCAGAGCTCTCCGAGGCAGGAGTGGCAGGTGTGATGGGTGTCATGGGGGTTAGCGGTGTAGCGGTATAGAGGGGGGTGTTTCCTGGCAGTGTGGTGGTCGTGACCGTTTGGGAGTGATAAAGCTGTGGTGTCTGTCCCAAGCCCCCTGGCACCCCACCCTGCTGGGCCGAAGCCTGCTGCTGCTGCTGCTGTTGCTGCCGCTGCTGCTCCTCCAGGAGAGACAGGCTGTTGGTGTTCGTCACAGGTTGGGGAGTCAGACCACTGCCATAGGGCATCATGGGGCTGAAAATGGGCATACCAGGAGTCATTGCCCCCTTTGAAGGATGGAAGAACAATCCCTCAATTAGGCTAGTTGAATCTAAAACATTTGAGCAATGTTGTTTCTGTGTTGACTACAATAACGTCTCACTCAAATCTGTTATAAGTCAAATTAGTTACCTGAGGGGAGGCAAGACCCTGGAAAGGAGGCAAACTGTTGTTCTGCTCCATGTCCTCAAGTTATGAAGCGTCTCAAAGGCCTGAAATTCCCTGAGGAGTAGGAGCAATTCTGTGTTTGATAATTTCGACAACAGTCATGTGTCGGAACAGTCGGAACAGCAGAGTTTAGCAGCGAATCCCTTAGATAGCTTATTTTGACCTGAAAGAATAGACAAATTACACACAGAAAGTTAAGCATTGATTGATACCGGGGAAATCGATGGAAAACAACACTGCTGTCAATAGAAACTTGACCAATCAGTCAACTAGACCACATTATGCAGCAGTAACTAACTAACAACTATAGACAGCTAACTATCTAGTTAGTTAACAACCTTAGGCTTTGTAGCCAGACAGTCAGCTAACAAACATTAGCTAACGTTAACTAAGTTTGATACCACTACAGTGGCGCGCAAACTTTTAACATAGCTACCTAGACCTTTAACACTACGCAATGAAATTCAATCAAACTTTGCAATGTATGCAGTTGTTTACGGAAACCATACAACTTCATGTGCGCGTAAAACAGTTTGGCGCAAATTTCGCACCTGACTTGACTTGCAGTTGGCCAGGCTAGCGTAGTAGCTACGTTAGCTAACGCTAGCTAGCTACTGCCATGTCAACACTCGTCTGGTCGTTAGTGTTTTGCTCACTAAGTGATGAAGTCGTGAGCTGTTGTGTTGAGATGGGACTCGGTAAATATGTCAAACACTCACCCGGTCTCTATAACTTCACTTTATAAAATGTCACATTCAAAAGAGCTTTGGCTTGCTGGTGGTTCAACTGATCATGCACTTGTTCTAAACAGCGACATCCTTGACCACTTCCGGTGTCAAAGTTCTTACGTCTTCTTCGATTAGGTTTAACAGCGGTTGGCGTTCATCAAAGTTCCTATTAATTCTTGATTATTTTCTCTGGCAAGGGAAAAAGTTGTTCAAGAAAAATTAAAAGGAGTTGGCCTTATGTATTTTCTTGGCCTGAGCATGTGTAGTCTTCCTGGCCTAAGCATGCTTAGATAGGACTTTTGCTTTTATGGCACAGGTTGTAGTGCACATGCCCTGATCCACAGGGTTACTGGTTCAACCCCTGCTTCAGCAGTTCCCCCTCAATCAATACATTGGTGGCAGCAGAATGATAATCCCTGGTTTCTGTTCTTTTTTATCGGAAGCATTCCCCCTGGCTGCATAGGGGTTTTTGTGAAGTACGCCTCTGAGAGGAGTTATAAACCTCCCTTTATGAAAGAATACTACCTTACTACCACCAAAAGGTCTGGACAGTTATGGCACATGGGGGTTGTGGATCCAGTTCTGGCTGTCCAAACTCAATCTCTACAGTTGTAAACACCCCTATTTGGCAAAAAGTATTATTGCGAGCCTTAACTATTTCTATTCTATGGAGACACTTCCAATCATGGGACCGATAGCATTACAATGAGTACAAAACATTAGGAGCACCTGCTCTTTCCATGACAGACTGACCAGGTGAAAGCTATGATCCCTTATTGATGTCACCTATTAAATCCACTTCAATCAGTGTAGATGAAGGGGAGGAGACAGGTTCAAGGATTTTTAAGCCTTGAGACATGGATTGTGTATGTGTGCCATTGAGGGTGAATGGGCAAGATAAAATATTTAAGTGCCTTTGAATGGGTTATGGTGGTAGGTGCCCTGCGCACCGGTTTGAGTATGTAAAGAACTGCAGCGCTGCTTGGTTTTTCCACACTCAACAGTTTCCTGTGTGTATCAAGAATGGTCCACCACCCGAAGGACATCCAGCCAACTTGACACAACTGTGGGAAGCATTGGAGTCAACATGGGCCAGCATCCCTGTGGAACGCTTTCGACACCCTGTAGAGTCCATGCCACAAAAAATTGCGCCTGTTCCGAGGGCAAAAGGGGGTGTAACTCAATATTAGGAAGGTGTTCCTAATGTTTCGTACACAGTGTTTGTTGGTTTTTCTTGATAAATTTTTATACGGCTCATACTCCATTGAAATCAAATACATTTTCAAACATTTAATAAACATTTCATGTTTAATAAAAATGGACACTGACAACATGAGAAAATTAACTACAGGGAACAGTTTTATTCTTCATCAAGAACGTAAAAAGAAAAGTAGGAGATAGGTCCAAAATATGAAAAATCCAGACGTAAGTGGTAGCTTGACACAGCGGCAGGAAATAGGTTGTTCAGTCCTTCCTGAGAGGGACTGTCTCTTCTTTGATGCCATCCTTGGTGACGATGCAGATCCTGAGGGCGTCCCCGGTGTACACATCTCTCTCAGCAGCGGAGATGAAGACATCTTTGACCAGCTGCACGGCCTTCTCCTGGCTCAGGGGCAGGTGCTGCACACCCTCCATGTTCTTGAATCCAATCTGATTGTAAATTAAGAATAAAGACAAAGACCATAAGGGGCTGTATAGAAACCAAGAACTGGTTTGTCCTGAACCAACTGGTTGCATTACGGCCTGGTATGGCAACTGCTCGGCCTCCGACCGCAAGGCACTACAGAGGGTAGTGCGTACTGCCCAGTACATCACTGGGGCCAAGCTTCCTGCCATCCAGGACCTCTATACCAGGCGGTGTCAGAGGAAGGCCCTAAAAATTGTCAAATACTCCAGCCACCCTAGTCATAGACTGTTCTCTCTGCTACAGCACAGCAAACGGTACCGGAACGCCAAGTCTAGGTCCAAAAGGCTTTTTAACAGCTTCTACCCCCAAGCCATAAGACTCCTGAACAGCTAATCGTGGCTACCTGGACTATTTGCATTGTCCCCCCCACCCCCTCTTTTACACTGCTGCTACTCTCTGTTTATCTATGCATAGTCACTTTAACTCTACCCACATGTACATATTACCTCAATTACCTCGACTGACTTGTGCCCCCCGCACATTGACGCTGTACCGGTACCCCCTGTATATAGCCTCCCTACTGTTATTTTATTTTACTGCTGCTCTTTAATTATTTGTTATTTTTAACGTATCAATTTTTTACTTAACACTTATTTTTCTTAAAACTGCATTGTTGGTTAAGGGCTTGTAAGTAAGCATTTCACTGTAAGGTCTACACCTGATGTATTCGGCGCATGTGGCAAATAACATTTGATTTGATACAGTATCTAGAAGGCCACTAGAATGTCTAGAGTTTCCTTGCCACTGCCAAATAATATCAAATTTTTTACATACAAACATTCAAGTCATGTTGTGCTGTCGGATTGCAGTACAATCCATTGGACAGAGGTACTTTGGGAGGAACGAAGCCCTCAAAAGATAGTGATACTGAACTTATGCCACTGTTTCTTTACCTGGTTGTCAAGCAGAGGTTGCAGCATAGCACTCGCTGAGCCTCCAGCTTTGTATGTGTCTCTCTGATAGGATCCCACTGGGTCAAAACTGTAAACAGCTCCTTTACCTGAAAAGCAAAAACAATCCAATTCAGTTTGGAGAGTAATAGATATTGGACTAGAAGTGGATTTTTAAAAAAACATGCAGTGAATAACTTACACATTATGATAATAGTAATAACAGAAATAGAGCAGGAGACATACCGTCCTCATCCAAGCCACCGATTATGTTGTAAACGTAGTAGGGGAAGAATCTTCTACCGTACAGGATTGTTGACAGCATGGCTGCGATTGCTCCACTTGTCATGCTCTTGTTGTTGGAGTGCTTGTACATCTAAAAATATTTTTCTCCCATTTTCATGTTTGAAAGTTATACTTATTGTGTACAGCAGTAGTCTATAACTTTCAGCTTAGCGAACAATTTTTAAAGTAACATTTATGAAAGAAAGTGAAACTGAGTCTCAAGACCAAGATTATCTCACCTTTAATCTTGCATCAATGATTTTGGTAAGAGTCAAGCAATCCCCATGGAATCCACTGCAGCCTATGACAGTTGTATCTGTCCTGTGATAAATGAAACAAACTGTATTAGTAACAGCATTTAGTGGTTGAATATTGATGAACATCCAATGTATTATTGATTATTATTATTTATTATGATGTTCACAAGCAGTATTCATTTCCATTCACCACCATTTCAAATGATTTCGTTTTACCAAGACTGCATTTAGATGTGTCATCTGTGTCATTACATAACAATGGTTGACAAGTAACTTAGGCTGTGTTTAGACAGGCAGCCCAATTCTGATATTTTCCTCTAATTGGTATTTGACCAATCACATCAGATATTTTCACATCAAGCTCTTTTTCAGAGCAGATCTGATAGGTCAAAGGACCAATTTGTGAAAAAATGATCAGCATTCGGCTGCCTAACTGAAGGTAGCAATAGTGAGCCAGTTAGTGGAGTTAAACCACACAATCTGACAATCTGCCTTCGCACATCCTTGGAAATACAGTATTGTGCGCTTGACTTACAACTTGTAGCATTTTGGAGAGTCACGGCTATGGATTGAATAGCCTTCACTCAGACGGGTGTCTGAGGCCACAATGGCAAAGTCTTCACCGGCAACAGCAAGCACAGTCCTGAAAGCACAAGATAAACTATGTTAAGACTTGATGGCGCCCTGACAAACATGTTCGTTTTGGCAAAACATGAATCAGCTCCGAGACTGAAGTAGCTAGCTAGTTAGCTAACGTTAGCTAGAAAGAAACTAGGCTAACTACTGTTAGCGTCAGAGAATAGCCAACGTTAGCTAATTACCTAACTGAAATCGAAACCAAACATGTACCTAGAAACGTCTGTTGTTCACGTAGCTAGTTAGGAAAAAATATATGTTGATCAGCTAAGTGTTATTTGCTTCATGGACACATTTAGTCAGACATTAACTTATATCCAGTCACTGTCCATTCTGCAGAACAACAAAATGATGCACAGCATAGCAGCATTATCTAGGTAGCTAAGCTAGTTGGATATTGATGCTTACCCTCCGTTGAAGGAATATGGAGAGAATCGGTGCTCTACTGGTCCAGTATAGTGATATTCCTTCATTTTCCCATTATCTCCATAAACTTGTGTCGCAAACATTATGCCGGTTTACGAGGAAACTCAGTCTTCAGCTTCCTAAAGACAAGTGGGAAATATCGCTGTATCACTGCAATATGGCGGACGGATATTTCTTCTTCTTCTTCAACAACCTGCAAAACAAAAAATTGTATTTCCTACCAACCACTGGCTGGAGTCATGGGTAACTGCAACTCAACTGGCTGCCGGAACATGGGTGTGTCAACTCAACATTCTTCTTCTTCGGTATATTGTCGTTCGCACAAGTTAGTGTGCATCCCGCCACCTACTGTGCGGCATGGAAACAGGATTCCCCAAAAAACTGAACAAACTATCAAAAACGACTAAACTACCCCCCCAAAAAATATCTAAACAAACTAAATCAAACAAATGTTCGGTTAAAAATAAAACAGAGCTGATCCCTACACAGGCTCAAGGGGTGCCTGGGACATCAGGCCATTTTCTGGCGCCAGTACCCCTTGCAAGTCTTTGGATGTAAAATCCTTAAGACCCAAAAACGTTTCTGCCACAGACACAATAATGTCCAGTTTCTTTGACCTTTTAACACACAGGTTATCTTTTGACTGGCAGCAAACATTTACTACAGGCTGTGGTCCAACCATTACCATATTTTCACTAGCGTCACTTGTTTTCACAACTCTTTTAAATCGCCTCCGCATAGGAGATTCGATTGAACGCTCTAACTTTTGCCACCTCAATCTCCTTCACCCTTACAGGGCATTCCAGGAACTCATGATTATGATCCCCACAACAATTGCAACACCGTTGTCCTTCTATACACTGTTCTTCAGTATACTCCGTCTGTCTGCACACACTTGAAACATGGACAAATCCTTTACAATTTTTACACTGCAGTGGTTTGGGGACGAAAGCTCTTACAGCGCATCTTACATAACCAAGCTTCACATGTGTAGGTAGGGGCTCTTTATCAAAAAACAACAGGACCGACAGACTTTCTTATTTTTCTCCATTCACCAAGCAGGTCAGACGCCAGGCACCAACCACACCAGGAATTCTCTCTTCAGGTATTCAACCTGAATATCCGTCATCACCCCTGAGATGCCTCCTTGATGGGTGCTCTGCTCCAAAGTTCAAAGCGCGATACTTCTGTTGTCCAGATTATTTTGAGGAATCTGCCTCTGTTCTTCAGAAATACAATTAATCAAAATAAGACCACTCCTGGTCACTCTGATAGACTCCACTTTCCCAAGCACATTCATCACCATTTGACACCTCAAACTATATGTGCATCCTGCCACCTACTGTACAGGTGGATAATAAAGATCAGAAAAGGAAAAAATGTGGGGTAAAAAATAACAATAATTCAAAATCCATTCAAACTATCAATAACAAAATGTTAATTAAACTAAATCAGCCTGCTTTTCTGTTTCAAATCAGGTCCCTACACAGGCTCAGACGGATCCTGTGATGGCGGGACATTTCCTGGCGACAGTAGTCCTTGCAGTGCTTCTGCCGTTAAGTCTTGGAGGCCCAAAAACGTATCGGCTGCAGATATGATGTCCAGCTTCTTAGACTTCTTGTACACTTGTGCAGTACAATTAATAACTGTGGCTATCAACGCTACAAAATCCACCTTCTTCACAATAAGTATATCCTGATCACTTGATTGACGTATTACAGTTGCAACTGGTTGTGGTGCATCCACCACCACATCTTCTTCAGAACTATGGCATCTTGCCCCTTCAACTCTCTTCACTGCCTCTACATAGGAGATCCTTCACACCTCAACCTCTTTCACCCTAACAGGGCACTCAGGGAATTCGGAAATATGATCCCCACCACAGTTGCAACATTTTACATTCAGACTCTTCAATCACATTCCTTCCATCTGCAAACACTTGACACATGGCCAAACTTTTTACACTTCTTGCATTGTATCGGGTTTTGCACGAACGCTCTTACAGCGTATCTTATATATCCCAACTTTACATATGGTGGTAAATACAGATAAATACTCCTTTATCCCATTCTCCATACGGGTCAAGCGACATGCATTAACTACTCCTGGAATTTTTTGCCTAAGATATTGATTATCAATGTCCAACGGGACACCAGAGATAACACCTTTTACCGGTGCCCTGCTCCGAAAATCAAAGCTTTCCACTTTGTGTGTCGATAATTTCGCGAGCGACAATGCATGCTCCTTTTGCTCTTTAGATACACACGATATCAACACCATACCACTCCTGGTTACTATGATATCAACACCATACCACTCCTGGTTACTATGATATCAACACCATACCACTCCTGGTTACTATGATATCAACATCACACCACTCCTGGTTACTATGATATCAACACCACACCACTCCTGGTTACTATGATATCAACACCACACCACTCCTGGTTACTATGATATCAACACCACACCACTCCTGGTTACTATGATATCAACACCACACCACTCCTGGTTACTATGATATCAACACCACACCACTCCTGGTTACTATGATATCAACACCATACCACTCCTGGTTACTATGATATCAACACCATACCACTCCTGGTTACTATGATATCAACACCATACCACTCCTGGTTACTATGATATCAACACCATACCACTCCTGGTTACTATGATATCAACACCATACCACTCCTGGTTACTATGATATCAACACCATACCACTCCTGGTTACTATGATATCAACACCATACCACTCCTGGTTACTATGATATCAACACCATACCACTCCTGGTTACTATGATATCAACATCACACCACTCCTGGTTACTATGATATCAACACCACACCACTCCTGGTTACTATGATATCAACACCACACCACTCCTGGTTACTATGATATCAACATCACACCACTCCTGGTTACTATGATATCAACACCATACCACTCCTGGTTACTATGATATCAACACCACACCACTCCTGGTTACTATGATATCAACACCACACCACTCCTGGTTACTATGATATCAACACCACACCACTCCTGGTTACTATGATATCAACACCACACCACTCCTGGTTACTATGATATCAACACCATACCACTCCTGGTTACTATGATATCAACACCACACCACTCCTGGTTACTATGATATCAACACCACACCACTCCTGGTTACTATGATATCAACACCACACCACTCCTGGTTACTATGATATCAACACCACACCACTCCTGGTTACTATGATATCAACACCATACCACTCCTGGTTACTATGATATCAACACCATACCACTCCTGGTTACTATGATATCAACACCATACCACTCCTGGTTACTATGATATCAACACCATACCACTCCTGGTTACTATGATATCAACACCATACCACTCCTGGTTACTATGATATCAACACCATACCACTCCTGGTTACTATGATATCAACACCATACCACTCCTGGTTACTATGATATCAACACCATACCACTCCTGGTTACTATGATATCAACATCACACCACTCCTGGTTACTATGATATCAACACCACACCACTCCTGGTTACTATGATATCAACACCATACCACTCCTGGTTACTATGATATCAACACCACACCACTCCTGGTTACTTTGACTGCATCCACTTTTCCCAATGCCTTCTTCACCATCCTTGTGACTTCAAAAGAGTTTCCCAAATAAACATCCTTATCCAAAAAACATACTCCAACAAGCAACGATCAACAGACTTATTTTCCACAACAATTTTAGCGCTTTTTGTCCCATTCTTCGATTTCACTGTTGTCCACTCATCTTTCTCGCTAACTGTTCTCGATGTAATTTGAACTTCAAACGAGACTTCTGATTCCGCCATCTCCCCGGGTCACCTCTCTCTCCCCGATAGATGGTTCCGGAAGAGCCTATCAACACATTATTATTATTACTATTATTATTATTATTATTATTATTATTATTATTATTATTATTATTATTATTATTATTCGTCTTCTTCTTCTTCAGTAGGGTTTATTGGCGGGTGGCATCCAACATTATGGTGCATTACCGCCACCTACCGTACTGGAATGTGGACCAGAGACAGGGAGAAACTAAATCCTACCTGCCAACACCGTTTCTCTTAAAAAAGATAACAAAATATTTGACACTATATCTAATGACGTTCTGCTCAATATACTCTTTAAACTAATTTCCTGTATCCCCTTCTCCCTCATACTAAATCTCATCCTCTCTCTTTCCCTCTGATACTGCCCACACTGTAGCAATACATGCTCCACAGTCTATTTCCTGACAATAATCACACTTTCCTGATGGATGCTTTCCTATCACGTTTAATGTCTTATTCAACTGGCTGTGTCCCACCCTTAATCTTGTAAAAATAGCCTCCTCTCTTCTGTCCCTTCCTGCCGTCCTCCCCTCCCCGACTTTCCTCTGTACCTGAAATAAATGCCTTCCCTTATTATTCCTATTCCACTGCTCCTGCCATCTCTGCACCATCACTGTATATATCAGTCTTTTTGCCTCTGCCTTGCTCATTGACACTTCAACATCAACATCCCCACTACTAAGTGCTTGTTTAGCTGGTTCATCTACTGCCTCGTTCCCCTCCACCCCCACATGGGCTGGAACCCAAGTAAATCTTATCTGAATACCCATCTGTTTAATCCTGCCATGGGTTTGTAGCACCTCATAAAGCAGGTCTTGTCTGCTACGTGAGCTAAAGGACTGGAGACTCATTAACACTGCACATGAGTCAGAGCAAATAACTATTCTGTCTGGCTTAACTTCCTCCACCCACTGCAAGGCCAACAGTATGGCCATCAGCTCCGCCGTATATACAGCCAGATGATCTGTAATACGTTTTCTGACTTCCACCCCACACTCCTGCACTACAAATGCTGACCCAGTACGTCCTGTCCTTGGATCTTTTGAACCATCTGTGTAAATGGCCACAAAATCCTGATACACAGTTTCCAGACGTCTCTTAAAGAAATCAGCTGGATCAACCCCCTCCCTATCTTTCTGTAGTCTCTCCAACACTTCTAGATCAACTACTGGAGGCAGGAGTAGCCATGGTGGATTTACAGGAATAACTACCGTTGGACTAAACTCCCTTCCATACAGTCCCATCTCCTTCGTCTGGGTATTACCCACCCACCCAAAGCTCGTGTTCTGTCTTTGCTCATGTTCCCAGCATGCCTGTAAAGGATGAGACACCCCATGTCCTTGTAGGTTGACCCAATAATT